ACGGCTGGCATGTCAAGCCAGGCAAGGAAAAAGTCTCCCTTCCTGTCAGTGAGCATAGTGCACTTAGGAGGTCTTTCTGTGCCTGTAGGCATGTGCATCTGTGCGTGTCTCTGTGCATTTGTCAGAGTAAGCAGAAATGCCTTGGAGAAGTGGCAAGCTGGAAGGTGGGTCTAGGAGACATCTCCAATGCTCTGCTTCTTTTGTGCTTGGTTTAATTATAGCAAAAAATATATTGTGCAATGGGAAATGCTTCCACATAAAATTAAATGTCCGACACAGAGATCATAGGAAGATAGAATTCTAGAGCTGCAAGGAACCTCAAGGCTTTTTTTAGCTCTATTCCTTAAAAAGCAAGAAATCCACAGCTAAAGCATCCCTGACAAGCGATCATCCAAACTCTGCTTAAAAATCTCCAGTGAAGAGAAGTCCATCACCTCCAGAGGTAATCCATTGTCATCTAGCTCTTATTGTCAGGACATTCTTACTAATGTTTGTCAAAATGCAATTTCTTGTAAATTGAAACCATTGCTTCAGATCCTACCCTCTGGAGCTGTGGGGGGAGGGGTGGAATTTGCTCCACTTTCCATGGGATGGGATTATTTAAAAAATTATGTTGAACAGCACCAGATACAGTATAGAACCCCGTAGCAACCCACTTGTTACTTTTTTCTATGATGACAAGGGACTCTTGGTGAGTACTCTTTTTTTGGGGGGGATGGCCGGTCAACTAGCTACAGTCCACTTAAAGTAGCATCAGCTATCTCCCATTTTATTTGTTTGGCCACAAGAATATCTTAACAGCTCTTGTCAAAAGCATGGATGAAATCAAGATATACAACATCCACAATATTCCCTACATTCCCCAAGCTCATGACTGTGTCAGAAAAAGAGAAGATTAGTTTTGCATATCTTGTTTTTGAGAAAACCGTACGGAATCTTGGCAATCACAATATTCTTTTCTGCATGCTCCCAGCCTATTTAATGGTCTATTTAAGAACCTTTCTTGGTATCAGGGCCAAGCTGACTAGTCAGATGTTTCCTGGATCCACTTTCCCCTCCTTTCTCTAGCCACTAGGAACATCACTTGTTTTGCAAGAATTCTCAAAGATTATAGATAGAGTCTTTGAGATCAAATCTGCAAGTTCCTTTAGTACCCTTGGATGGTGCTCACATGGCCCCAAAAACTTGAATTCATTTAAAGTAGCTAGGTGT